GGCCCTCAGGATTTACAGTTATCTGAGCGACAGAAAATGAAACAAGCAAAGGGATGCTTGCAGAAGGCATCGCCAGCCTTGTAGGCACATGGAAAGAAGACATACACGGAGTCACAGGAGGGGAAGTGGGGGGAGCCCTGGGAGGGGGGACGGGAAGTCAGGCACTCAGCCCCCAGCCCTTTCTGCCAGGCTCCCAGGAGCTTCCCCCGCTTCTCAGCAGCAGAAAGAAACCCAGGGAGGGTTAGATGGATGGCATCCCTGATACAGTGGACAAGAGTTTGAGCAAATTCTGGGAGATGGTGAAGGACAGGGAAGCCTGGCATGCTGCAGTCCGTGGGGTCACAGAGAGTTGGACGCGACTGACCGACCTAACAACAATAACAGTGTGGACGGCCTCAAGTCGCAGGCTGGTCAGGGCCCCAGGCTCAGTGGGGCTCAGCCCAGCCCTGAAGTCTGCTCCCGGGGCCGGGCCATGTGTCAGCGCCGTCCCTGGAGGGAGCCGGCCGTCTCTGCTCGAGCACAGTGTGGGGGCCCCGGGCTGCGTGCCGGACCGTGCCCACCCCCAGGGGCACTGCAGCCCGAGGCTGTTGCCCGCTGCGCTCGGGGTCAGGGCTCTCCTCCTCCCGCCTGTGTGCCCCTGCCTGAGCCCCAGCCAGCCGCGCTCGGGTCCACCTAGCACTCTAGCCCATGAATCCAAGATCTGCTTTCTTATTTTTCCCTTGAGCCTGGATGTTTGGGTCTGACCTCTTTTTGGGTAGTTGAGGGTAGGGGCCCAGAGTGAAAGACATTTTCATCTTTTGTGACAGAGTTCTCCCAGAGAAAATATTTTCTTGACATCCATTTCATTGTTCTTTCACTGTATGTTATTTTGCTTTAAAAAAAAACTGAATAAAAATAACTGAAAAAAAATGTATACTTGAGTACTGTAATGGATATTAACTAGACTCACTGTGGTGAAAATTTCACAGTATGTACAGATATGGAGTATGCTATATACCTGAAACTAATACAATGTTATATGTCAATTACATCTCAGTTAAAACAAGCAAAAAGCCCTTGTATTTTTTTGCTGCTTTTGATAAAATTAAGACACAAAAAATTAAGATAAAAACTCAAGAGACAAGCAGACATACAAGAATTACCAATAACTTAGGAACAAGAACCTGCCTTGGGTGACTCTCAAATCCTTATCCCGCCCTCTGTTCTCCCTTCCCTCCTTTTCACCAAGCATCTTTTGAGTACCTGCCTGACCCTGCTGAGATGCCGCCAGGCCCTGGCGATGCTGTGATGAAGGCAATGTGGTTCCTCTGTCTTTAGAAGGACAACCCTGGCCCATGAGACAGCTACGTACACATCAGCCCCAGGAGAAACCTCACCGACACACACCTGTGCCCAGGTGAGCCACTGGTGCAACTTTCTCTGGGAGTGCAGAAAGAAAGGGTGACTGGACGCATCTGGGAAAGCCTGCCCAGCAGGAGTAGTAGTCTGATTTAGGCTTGAAAGACTGAGAAGAATTTTTCTAGAAGGAGCCTTGGGAGAAGGGTCAAGGCAGAGATGACGCTCTGAATGAATGCAGAGAGAGGGCCTGGGACAGGTGGGAAGGGAAAACGATCTGCCCGGGGCCTCCCAGGGTGACCTGCCGAGCAGCCAGTATTGCTGAATCTTTCTGGAAGATTTCCAGAACCTTCAACATTTAGCTGTTCTTTCTACCATTCCTGCAAGGGGCCTGCTTCTGCTGCTGGCTCCATGAATACTCTATAAACAGATGTCAAGGCACTTAGCGGGCTTCAGCGTCTTGCTCACCAAGTGCCCATGACCTAGTTGAAGGCATGGATGCCTTGGAGCAAGCGACTCTGGGGGGACCCATCACTGCCAGGTAAGGGTAGGCGCCCCTGGATCGGGGACTCCTGAGGCAGGCTGCACCCAGCAGGGGGTGCTGTGGGGACTCAGCCATCTGCTCGAGAAAGGTCTGCGGGGCCCGGAGGACTTTGTTGGGGACGCACGGCCACCTTGTCGTCTCGAGCAAATCTGTGCCTGAAAGAGAAAACACTGACTCCGTCGCTGATGTTTGCTCTGCTTTTTATTATTCAGTGTAGTTAGCTTGGGCTTTTCGAGGAGAACTGTGAAAGAACTTGCGTGACATCCAAGAAAAAATTATTTTCACCTTAGTTTACCTTCATACCCAAACTCACGTGAATTACTATTTCTGTGATAACACTGAACTGTTTTTCATTGTTCTTTCCTTCTTAACGTCTAGAGGCTTGTGCCTGAGGCCCATGAGCTGGGCTTCCAGACCACGGCCCTGCACTGCTTACCTCTCTGTTCATCCCTGCCTGGCAAATCTCATACACTGGACACCTTTCCACTGGGCCCAGCTGAAGGCTCTTGTTGGTTGGAGGCACTCATTTCTCTATCCAGAAATTTTTCACTGAGGCTTAGGATGTGCTGAGTAAACAGGGCCCCTCACTTCTGTCTTCATGGAGTGGTGAGTCTAGTGGGAGAGTGAGCAAGTCCCACTAACCACTGCAGGAAGCAGGCAGACATGAGGTGGGTTCTGAGAGCCACGTAACTACCAAGGATGGTTGAGCCACAAGATAATTCCTGCGCTAGGGTCGGGGCCCCAGGAGTGACGCCTGTGGAATGTATATCACATCAGGAGGCAGAGAAAGGAGGAGAAATGGCATTTCCAGCAGAGGTCATGGGGCAGAGGCAGGGAAGGATGGGAGCTGGGCTGAACCCAACGTGGCCAAGGTCAGATGAGGAGGCTGGACCCTCAGAGGAGGCTCGGACGTTGGCTTCGGCCAGGTTAGGAGGGCCCCAGTGCCACACTGGGGACGGGGCCCTATTGGTGTGACCAGATATCTATTTATCCCCCAGGCTGGAGAAAGAAAGTGAGAGGTAGGGAACAGGGAGCCATCGGGGCTTTGATAAGAGGGTTACGGGAGGGAGCTTTGGTTTAGGGACACATAAAAGACTGGACAAGCAGTCCAGACCAGGCCGTGTACTGCTTACCACTCTGTTCAACGTCCGGCCACCCCCTTCCCAGGTGGCTGCAGGCTCCCTCCTGTGTGCAGGTCCCGCGGCTGCAGAGATGCAGGGTCCACCTGCTGCAGAAGGGGCCTGTAGGTGGGTGAGGAAGGCCCATGGTGGTGAGCTGTGCGAAACTCAGGGGTGGGGACCGTAAGGGGTAAGCCTAGCTTGGCGGGCAGGACAGAGACTGGCTTAGAGGGGAGAGGAGGACCTTCAGGGCGGGGGAGCCTCAGACCATGAAGAGGCCTGCTCATCTCGAAAACGGTTCATATGGGGGAGGGAATAATAAAGAAAGATTTGTTGAGGCAGCTGCATGCGGGGCCTTGAAGACCAGTGGTAAGTCTGGTTGAGCAGTCACTGCAGGCCTCTGAGCTGCGCAGGGTCTGGGGACAGGAGCCCCAGGAAGACTCGGGGCCCAGGAGACCCTTGGCCTGTGGGCAGCTCCATTCCTGGGCTAGCGGACAGAAGTCCTCAGGAGCAGCATGACCTGCTTCGGGCTTTTGCCTTTTGCTGACAGGGGTCTGCTGATGGTGCTTGTCTGTTCTGCCTGTAGGGTGGGTCAGGCGTGAGTGGGCTTCTCCTCTTAGGCGCTCATGGGGCCGTGGGGGGTCTTGTTTGTGCCATCTGTTCTGTGCTGGGGCTTCCCTGGTGGCTCAGGAGTAAAGAATCTACCTGCCAAGCAGGAGATCTGGGCTCGATCTCTGGGTCAGGAAGATCCCCTGGAGGAGGAAATGGCTACACACTCCAGTGTTCTTGCCCGGGAAATCCCATGGACAGAGGAGCCTGGTGGGCTGCAAGAGTCAGACACGACTGAGCGACTAAGCAGGCAGGCGCGTTCTGTGCTGGGGACGCCCACAGGGGAACTGACCGTCTCAGTGGTCTGCTGGCCCTGACGGTCCCGGTCTGGTTCTGGCCACTCATCACTTACTGAGCACTTGCTCTGTGGCTGAGCCCGTGCAGGCACTGGGGAGTCAGAGACCAGGCAGCCTGCCTCCGCCCTGGGGACTCCCCGCCCAGCAGGACACATGGGGTGGGCAGGCTTCACAAGGGTGCTTGGCCCCAGTCTGAGGAGGGCTACCTCAGGGTCCCTGCCTTGTCCGGAAGACGAGGGCTGGGCCCCAGGGCCGCCTCTTGTGGGTGTGCTGCAGTGGCCCTTTGGGACTTGGACTGTGGCTGATGGACCTGACCAACCGTGACATAAAGCGAGTGGGTCTCTCCAGCCTTTTTGATGGGCTTCATTGAAGGACGCTGACAGCTGCTCATGGAGCCTGGGCAAGTCCCCCAGGGTCACGGTCCCATGGAGGAGTGTGCACCATCCTACCTCTAACATGGGGTGACAGTGACCAAGACAAGAATCTGTTCCTTTCCCTTCCATGGTACTCCCAGGAGCCCCCCTGCCAGGGCAGGGAATGGAGTGCAGGGCCTTCGGGGACAGGCGGAGAAGCCGGAGGGACCCTGGCCTCCTCCCCATCCTCTAGAGCTTTCTGGGCTGTCTCCTGCTCCAGTGGCTTTGCAGAAGGGAAAGCAGAGAAGAAAATGTGACTCCAAGGGTAGCATTAGGTGATCAGAACCCCAGAGAACATCAGAACAGTCAGAATTTACCCAGGAAAAGAGATGACATTGGACTGACCTTTGCGTCTGGATAAGAGACATAATTACCCAGGAAGGCTGGTAACAAAACGAGCCTGGAAGGAACAGAAGCAAGAAAGGACGGCTTGACTGGTCAGCACCTTCCGAAGGCCAGGCCCTCCCCAGGCTGAATGACATTCACTGTGTACTTTAAGGCGTGCACGTAGCAGGAGAGGTGAAATCAATAGACTCAGCCCACCGTGCTGACTGTGGTCCCCGAGACCGCCGAGTATGTGAAATATTCCTGGACTATAGGAGTGGAAGTAAGGGAATGCAGAGAAGACCTCCTCGTGGGGCGATCTTCCGAGTGAGTGACCCTGTGGCTTGGTCTTGTGAGCAGGTCAATCTTTCAAAGCCTTCTGAATTTGCTGAATCCACTCAAGTTTACTATTCTTCATTATCAGCATCACGACGAATGTCTGCCTCCTGGACACTTTGCGGTCATCAAACCTGGGCTGCAGGATGTCTGGACACAGGGAGCACTGTCCTTTCAAATGGGGACAATAAGGGGAGCATCCACCTCTTACTGATCAGGACTTCTGAACTGAGGCATAGGGAGCTCTAATCTTGGCATAGGAATTGAATTTATTTTTGAAAATACCAAATATCACCAAACAACTCCAGCAGGAGTAGAGCAATGGAGAATTCGGTTTGCAAGCATGTGGCCGAAATGCTACATTTTATTTTTCTCTTTAAAAAAAAAAATTGGAGGATAATTGCTTTACTACGTTGCGTTGGTTTCTGCTGCACATCAAGGTGACTCAACCACAAGTATATGGATGCCCCCTCCCTGTCCAGCCTCCTTCCCACCTCCCACCCCATCCTACCCCTCTAGGTTGTCAGAGAGCTGAAATGATACATTTTAAATGAAAGAAACTTTGGCCACACATAGCATGTAGGGGGTGGTTATTTGTGCAGACAAAAGCAAAGGACACTCTTGGGCCCGGAGTTTGCTTTGCCAAATTCCGAGCCCCTTCCTGCGGTGAGTTAATTTCCAGGCTCTGCCAACACCTCACCTGCACCCAGGCATCCTCTTGTCACCTGACTGTGCTTCCCGGGGTTTGGGTGGCCGGGGCTTGCTGTGGCCGCAGGGCCCCGGGAGGACACCGTAGACCGAAGGCATCTCAGTGGGGCTCTCTTCCAGAGGCGCCGTCCTCTCTCGGGCTGAAGAGGAGGCTGCTTCCTCCTGGGCTCTCCAGACTTTATGCTAAGTAGCTCCCACTCATCCACGTAAACACGGGCATCCTGGCGTTTCCAACAGGCCTTATGTAAAGTGATAAATTGCCCCCAGAAAGGATCGACCAGCACGTGGGCCTTAACTGTCTCCTGGCCCTTGAAGATGAGTTTGCAGCTCCTGCGGACCACGGAGGCGGCGGCATCGCTCCCTACCCCCTCCCATCCCCGCTCAGGCCACGCAGGGTGCACCCCCGGGGCGCGCCCCTGGGGATGCCCGGCGGCCCAGCCGCCACCCCCGAGCGTGCACGCGCGCCCACCCGCCTTCGCCATCACGGTCGGGGTCGGGGAGCGCGCGATCGCATCGGTTAATTAGAAGCCAGAGTCGGTGGAGCCCCCGCCCGCCGGCCTGCGCTCCGCCCGCCAGGGGCGCCCTCCCCGTCGCCCGCCGGCCCTTTGATCGCCCGCGGCCCGCGGCCCGCGGCCCGCAGCCCGCTCCGCGGCGCGCAGGTGGCGGCAGCGGGGCGCGGCGCGCTCGGGCGCTCGGGTCCCCCGGCCGCGCCTCGCTCCCCGCCACGCCGCACATCAAGGCCCGGCCGGCCGGCGGGCGCCTTCATTAGCAGCCTGAAATTATAATATTATGTTAAAGAACAAAGCTGCTCCCCGGAAAAATATGTGCTGCATATCTGACAAAGATAAATTGGATTATTCAAAATATTCTTGATGAAATGTTACATTTTGCAACTAATTATCAATCTGTTTTATCTGCAGACCAGCTGGGCATTTTTGTGCATGCAAGACCTGCCTTTCCAATGATCTTAAGATGTCACTGTAGCGTTTACATCTTTTATTTCAAGATTTAAATAACTAGGAAGTAGCTAATGTAATTCACTGCTGAGAAGAAAGACGAGCTTCTTGATTCCTTTCCAAAGCCATCTCCTTCTAATGAACTTCTTTGGACTGTGAGTAATGAGGCTTTATTCAAATAATATTTAAGGGAGCCTCTGTCAGTGTAATTTCTAAAAAAAAGGGGGGGGGGGAACCAATGTTTAATACATTTAAAACATCTCAATTCATAGGATATTAGGTCACGCAAGCCCACAGTAGCCCTTGCCAGGGAGATGTTCCTCCAATGTTGCTCTTTTCAGTTGAACCTGGCCTGGCCAAGCCCTCAGATGGCCTCACAAATCCAGTGACTTGGCCCACTTTTTATCTGATGTTTTGCTGGAGCTGAGATGTTTAAGATACTCTGGGCTGATATAAATCCTGACCATTAGGAAGATCCAGCTTTCGGCTCCCGTCTGCCCATGAAAATCTCTCTCCTGTTCTGATCTTTCTGGGGGATTGTGTCAATGTAGTTTTCTTGATGTTTTGTGAGTATTTTATGGCTGGAGGCAGCAGAAAAACAGACTCTGATGGCTTCTAGGCCCTTCACACTTTCCTGGAGGGAAAAGTGGCCAGAAGATGCACTCTGTCTGTATGCTGAGCCGTCCGCCCACCCGTCTCCATGTGCTGAATGCAGTCTCCATTAAGGCTGAATAGACACACAATGGCACCTACCGTGTATTAACACTCAGAAGTGCTTTCCAGCCTGCTCTGGTCTTCCTTTTTGTTAGACTCAGAGAGAAATATAGGCTTCTCAGGTGGCACTAGTGGTCAAGAATCTGCTTGTCAAGACTGGGCACCAAGAGACATAGGTTCAATCCCTGGGTCGGGAAGATCCCCTGGAGGAGGACATGGCAACCCACTCCAGTATTCTTGCCAGAAAAATCCCATGGTGGGCTACAACCCATGGGGTCGTAAAGAGTCGGACACGACTGAGCACGCACGCATCATTCATCACTCACAGAGAAATACAAGAATATTCTCCTGTTGAACAAACTTCACTCCTTCAGTCTCAGTAGCTACTCCACAGTCTGAGATGGAGGAAGCAAGGCGGGGCTTCACTCCCATCACGCAGATGAGAACATTGAGGCACAAGGAAAGAGATGATGTGATTTCCTCAAAGGTACCCTGAGAGCTGGGCTTCCCAGATGGCGCTAGTGGTGAACTCCCCTGCCAATGCAGGAGATATGAGAGATGCAGGTTTGATCCCTGGGTCAGGAAGATCTGCAGGAGGGCAAGGCAACCCACTCTAGTATTCTTGCCTGGAGAATCCCATGGACACAGAAGCCTGGGGGGCTACAGTCCACGGGGTCTCGAAGAGTCGGACACGACTGGAGTGACTTAGCACGCACCGCGGGCACCCTGAGAGCTGCGGTGAAGGCGGGGCCGCAAGCCTCTCCAGGCTCTCAGCGCATACTCTCTGCGCTCCACGTAGACGGATGAAAGATGAACTTGTAGTTGATGGGAGGAACATGTGGGAAGCTTCGGGGTGTGGATTCCCCTTCTCAGCTGAGAGGTCTTCAAAGTGGTTATGAGGGAGCATGCCAAGGAAAATCAAGCAGCCATTTTCCCACTAAAATGACAGAACATACATCCTTCTTGCTTTTCTAATTGATTGCATTCTGACTGCTTCTCCACAAAATGATCCCCAGACAGGTTCTCAGAGCTGTCACTGAACCATTTGAAACTTTGCATGAAGCATGTTTATGTGTGCCTTTCCGAATCTATCTATATAACTCTTTTCCCCCTTATTTGGCTTGGTTAGAAAATGCCTTTTGTTCAGATTGCAAGAGAAAATTACACCTGATGTGCTTTCTGCCCGATTTGACTCCGGGGTTTTCTCTTCTGACGTTCCTGTATCTAGGGTCAAATTACAGTGCTCAAAACAGAAGAGTTTTCAAGAAACACCGACTGGACCATCCTAAGACTATGCTCTCTGGTGAGAGTCTCAACTTCTCTTTTTATTTACTTACTTCTTAACTCTTTTTTTTCCCATGATAAGTTAATTAATTTTTGTTGGAGTCAAGTTGATTTACACTGTTGTGTTAGTCTCAGGTGGGCAGCAAAATGGATCAGTTCTGCAGATTCATGTAGCCACTCCTTTTCAGGCTCGTTTCCTATAGGTTATTTCGGAGGACTGAGCAGAGATCCTTGTGCTGCAGAGTAAGGCCTTCTGAGTTATCTGTCTTATATGTAGAAGTGTTCGCTTGTCAATCCCAGTCTTAAATGTATCCCTCCCCTCACTTACCCTGGATAACCATAGTTTGTTTTCTATGTCTGATCTATTTCTGTTTTGTTAATGCGTTCCTTTGTCCCCTTTTGTTGGATTCCACATGCAAATGGTATCATATGGTGTTTGTCTTTCTCTGACTGCCTTTCTTCACTCAGTGTGATCCATGTTGCTGCAAATGGCTTTATCTTCTTTTTTTAAGATGCTTGTTTCCTGCCTGGTGCTTTTTTTTGAGAGTCCACGGCTGTGTCAGAAGTGAAGGTAGAAAGGGTCCCTTGGAGTTCAGAGGAGACTCTGCTGGCCGTTGGCTTTTCCCAAGTAGTCTCCTGGGTCTTTTGCCTAGAGTGATTGAGGGGCTGTCATCTCACGATGCCAACCCCTCCCAACCCCCAAATCCTCTGAATGGAGAGTGAGATCTCTCTATCACAGAGATGACTATTTATAGGTCACCAAATATTCAGTGCTGTTTTTTTTTTCTAAAATACTTTCTAATTATATTTAGGAAAACAAAATATCAGGGCTTCTCTGATGGCTCAGTGGGTAAAGAATCCGCCCGCCTGCAACGAAGGAGACACTGGAGACACTAATTTGATCCCTGGGTCAGGAAGATCCCCTGGAGAAGGAGATGGCAACCCACCCCAGTATTCCTGCCTGGGAAATCCCATAGACAGAGGAGCCTGGCAGGCCATAATTCAAAGGGTCGCAAAGAGTCGGACACTTCTGAGCGACTGAGCACAGGTAGACAAAGCAGATTCTCTTCTCTCTTTTCTAGAAGGGTCACTGTGTGTGTGCAGATCATTTAGCCATCTTCACAGTATGTGGTGTAAGAAAGTGTTGAACTCTCCTGGAAAAGCGTGCTGTGCTTCGCTTGTCCACCCGAGGCTGCCCATGCCCTCATATGTGGATGGTGAGTGTGGCTGGGCCCACAGCGGTACCTTGATGGGTCCTTTAAAGCATCGTGAGCAGGTATCTACAAAGCTTTTCTGTAATGGGCCAGATGATGAGTGTTTCAGGTTTGCAGGCCTTCCCCTCTCTGTCTCAGCTACTCCATTCTGCCACCGAGGCTCTGAGGCAGCTGCAGACAATTTGTAAATGAACGAGCATGGCCCTGTTCCAATAAAACTTTATTTATGGGCACTGAAATGTGAATTTCAGATAATTTTCATGTGTCATGAAATATTATTCATCTTTTGGTTTTTTTCAGCCGTTTACAAATGTGATAACCATTCTTAGTTTGTGGGCCGTACAAAAGCAGACAGTGCCCAGATGCAGCCCGCAGGCTGTGGCTTAACCCCTCTGCTTTGGAATTGAACGAGGAGACTTCCAGCTGCTCTGACTCTCCCGCTGCTCTTGTAGGAGTTCGGGTGGGGTGCCTTCTTCATCCACTGGATCCACTCACATAATAGTAGGTCCTCTCTTGGCCCCATGCCCCCCGCCCCAGTTTTATTGAGCTGTAATTTAACATTCAATATTGTATAAGTTTGAGGCGCATGATGGAAGGGCATGATTGTGCATTTCTTGCAAGGCAATCACCGGGGTAAGTCTAGGGGACACACTTCAACTCACAGAGTTACACGTCGTTTTCCTTGTGATGAGAATTTTTAAGATCTATCCTGTTCCTTGGTGGCTCAGACAGTAAAGTGTCTGCCTGCATTGTGGGAGACCCGGGTTCAATCTCGGGGTCGGGAAGATGCCCTGGAGAAGGAAATGGTAACCCACTCCAGTACTGGTGCCTGGAGAGTCCCATGGACGGAGGAGTCTGGCGGGTCTCTGAGCTCCTGGTGATGCTGCATGCTTTGGCTCGCAGCCACATCCCTCCAGCCTCCACCTCCCTCTTTCCACGGACTCCTCCTGCCTGCGTCTGCCTGTCCAGATTCTCCTCTTGTGGTGAGCGAGCCCATCGCTGGGGCAGGGCCCAGCCTACTCCTGGAGGCCCTCCTCGCAGCCTGATTGCATCTGCAAGGACTCTGCTTCCCAAGAAGGTCACGTTCTCAGGTCCCAGGGGACTTGAACATTTTTTGGGGGGGTGGGTGACGCAGTTCAAGTCGCGTGACACGGAAAGGGGAGTAAACAGAGGCTGGAATTGGGGCCCAAGTGGCAGCTGCCCCTTTACTGTGTGACTTCAATGGCCGAGGTTCAGCCCTGATTCTTCCTGGCAGCAAAACTCAGTCATGGTGCTGGCGGCTGTTGTTGGGTCTCCAGAAGTACCGTCTCCACACGATCCCGAGTGAATCTCACACAAGTTAGTAACGGTTTCTTCGCGGATTCGCCTTGCTCACTCAGGGAACAACTTCACCGCCCGAGGCCCTTCCTGCCACACCCTCCCCGGACTCTTCTCTGGACCCTCTGTAGCTGCTCCACCTGCTTCTCTTGGGGATTTCCCTTGGGAATTAGGATTCCTGGCTCCTTAATCGAGGCTTCCTAGGTGGCACTAGTGGAAAAGAACCTGCCTGCCAATGCAGGAGATGTAAGAGATGTGGGTTCGATCCCTGGGTTGGGAAGATCCCCT